AATCGCAATGCACCCAGGAACGTAAGCCTGACTAAATAACAATGAAGTGAACTTGTAATGTGTGTCCTTATGGAGCAAATCCTATCACATGGCTGTCAGTGGCTCAGAGCAGCTCTTCCTGGGAGTGCTTGAAATGAATATGTTTGGGATCCATGGTCTAATTCAACATGACACTATTCCTGGTCAGGGAAATAAACTTCAAAGTACCCAAAGACAGCAGAACAGAAACCATGACGTTGGATGAAAGGGCTGCAATTTACGATAATGTTCAGTCTTGAATAAACTCCAGATTATTTCCTGACTTAATTTGGGCAATACAATTTTTCGTTTTAACGATTAATACATTCTGAAAATACTTGGCCATTATTTTTCTGTCCATCAACTTATCTTCACAACACTATTAAGTCATATAATTATTTCATGTTTCTTTTGGGTGAAGCTTCCTTTGAACAGTCCTCTGCTTTATATTTGAAACTTTAGCACAAAGGACACTTTTTTCCCTTAAAAGGTCCCATGTCATGCTTTTCTGGTTATTACCCGTCCCCTTGTGTGTTATGTAGCTTTTTATGCATGTACACGGTCTGCAGAGTCACAAACCCTCAAAGTACACCCTGTAGCGAGTAAAACTCTAACACAGAAAATACCTGTCTATGCTACCCCAAAACGCCCCGTTGCAAATGATTATTTTTCCATTTGTTTCTTCCGGGAACCAAGTGACGTAACGACGACCCAATGGACCAATTGGTCTAAATGGACCAATCCGCGGACTTCCTCACACACACACACACACACACACACACAATCTTTCTCAGGCAGCTCCAGCTTCCTGGATTTCTCAGCCTGAGACGGCGGGACGCGGTGAGGCTGTGGGTGTGTGTGTGTGTGTGTGTGTGTGTGTGTGTGTGTGTGTGTGTGTGTGTGTGTGTGTGTGCTCGGGCTGGTTTCGGACTGGGTTTCGCTGTGTCTCACCGAGCCCACGCAGCAACCAGGAAACCACATCTGTAATCCAGCTCACACTGTCCGCTCCTCGCAGCAGCGGGCCTCGCAACGTCCCGCCAACTCGGCACCCAGACCCCACGCAGCATTCTTATCTGTTTGTCCTTACTGGTGTCATTTTCTGGTTTACTAACGCCATTGTAACACATGATCACTGATGTTCCGCTGGTAGAACGGGTGGTGGACTAATCAGAAGCGCGCAGCAGTTTTTATCAACATCAACAACTGCACCTCCTCCACTGCTCCTCTTTCCCCACAGGGCGTCCCCCAGGGTTCGGTGCTTGGCCCCCTCCTCTTCATCCTTTACATGCTCCCCCTTGGCAAAATAATTTGTGGCCACAACCTTCAATTTCACTGCGTACGCGATGACATCCAACTCTTATATCGTCAACAAAAACGATCACCCGACAACACACTCCACTCTCACGCAACTGTCTCTCAGAAATAAAAGCATGGATGCAAACAAACTATCTCCAACTGAACAGTGCCAAATCAGACATCATACATCATCGGCCGCCATCCCGTATCAAAGACATCGAGAATTTCAACTTCACCATTGACAGCCACCACTCTATCTCCCCCCCCCTCACACATCCGCACCTCGGAGTCCATTTTCGACAGTCAGCTCAAAATTCAACCACCACATAAATCACATCACCAGGACCGCCTTTTTCCACCTCAAAAACATTGCCGTCTCCGCCCATCACTCTTCCTCCTCGCTGAAACCCTGATCATGCATTCTCACTTCACGACTACTGCAATAGCATCCTCTATGGCATACCATTCCAACCTCCTCAATAAAGTCCAACATACCTCCACGAACTCTGCTGTCCGCCTCCTCACCCACACCCGCTCCCGAGACCACATCACTCCGATCCTCCAGAACCCTCCACTGGCTTCCCCGTCCGTCAAAGAATCCACTTCAAAGTCCTCCCTCATTACTTACAAAGAGCCTCAACAAACCAGGCCCCCCCTACCTCACAGACCTGCTGCACCACCACCACCCCTTCCAGCTGCCTCCAGTCATCAGAAGCCAACCTCCTATCATCCCCAACACCGCACCAATCACCGGGACCTTGTGGGGACAGAGCGCTTCTCCGTCGCTGCCCCCTTCCCTCTGGAACTCACTTCCCACAACCCATCAGAGACTGCACCGACCCTCACCACCTTCAAAAAACTCACCTCTTCAATCTGGCTTTTAATGATGTGATTGTTTTTGTCTTATTGGACCTTCAACTTTACTATATATGTATTTGTTGTTCCTTTCTTCTCTCTTCACTATTATCTGTTAAAGCGTCTTTGAGGCAACCTGTAAAAGCGCTAACAAATTAAATCGTATTATTATTATTATCATTATTTATTATTAGAGTGGGCGAGCTGACCAATCAGAGCACACTGGGCTCATAGGGAGGGGGGGGGGCAGGAGCTCCAACAAGCCGTTGTAGGACAGAGTGAATACAACATACTATACAGAGATGCTGTATGAGAAACCAATGTGAGTTTGGAAAATTGCAAAATATTAAAATCTATTCTAGTAGACCTCAACAATGGGAATCATGATCAGTATAGAAAGTGGCCATGTCATGGACCTTAAAAGTTTCGACTTTCAAACAAACTAAAAGACGATTTCCACTCGCCCCACAAAACCCTTTATTTTAAATGAACTTGTCAAGATAAAACAAGGCAGCGTGGAAGGTGAGCAATATCATCAGTGAGAGCAGAGCGTGAGAGATACAGAATGTGTCTGTGGAGGTGTTCTAGAGGACAACACACAGACAGGATGGATGCCAGCAGGAAGGAGGAGGGAGAGCTTTCTCTTTGGCCAGTCCTTACACAAGGCTTCACGTTGCAGGGACACCAGAAGGCTCATCTCAATAGAATATT